TTGTATTATCTCTTTGCAAGGTTTACTTTATGTTTTTTAAGAACTGCGCTTCACTTCAATGAAGCGTGCGCTTCGCTTTTGAAGTGAGGCGAGCCCCTGTCGGTTTTTTGCGCTTCTTGCTCTAAAAAACAAGGGGAGTTCCTATGGAGGGGGAGGTGTAGATAGGGGGAAAATATGAAGGGTAAAGGAGAATGCTCAACCATTAACTATCATCGAAAGGGGGTAGAGAATGACTAATTGGATGAGGGAATAGATTTCTAAAGTTTGAGGAATTGTTGGGTGTTCGTTTGAGTAGAAGGAGGACAAAGTCATTGATCTTTTAGTTGACATGAATTAGAGTCAAGAAAAGTAAGCAATGTTGGGAAAGGGGATATAAGCGTAAAGGAAAAGAGTTAGGCGGAATCTCATGAAAGAAGAGATAACACTATGGTGCATGGGAGGAGGTGTAAGGGGAAAGAGTGGTAGGATGGAGAGCCGAATGGGCCGACGAGGAGGGGCTGACGGAGAAGTTTTGGGAGTTGTCCACCTCTACAGTGGAATAAGATATTCTGTAGGTGTTTGGGGGAGAGGGGGAACTTCAATACTATTAGGTTCTCAGAGGGAATGATGTGGTGTAAAACAATGTCAAAGGCAATTGAGGAGCTCTTAGAGTTCATCGATAATCATTTTTATTGATTTTCTTTTGATAGAGCTAGTTTCTCATTGTCTAGGGTAGAGGACCGAACATTAAAATCAAGACTGGACAGATTCTTAGTGTTGACCTCTTGGATGGAATTGGTTACGACTGTGCTAAAGATTCTCTTGCTGAAGGTAATTTCGACCAAGCCGCCTATCAGATTTGAGAACACGTGGCTAGAAAAACGGACTTTGGAGATAGAGTGGGAGGCTGGGGAATGGATATGTAGTCATGGGCAAACCATCATTCCCGGTCGCAGAAATTCAAAATTATTGAAAGGGGACATAAAGGTGTGGAATATGGAGGTTTTTGGGAGGGTAGAGATGAAGATGCAAAAGCTTATGAATGAATTAGAGAAGTTGAGAGGGCAAAAGGGGCGAGGAGATTGGAGGAGAGTGAAAAAGTGAAGGAGGATGTGAAGAAAGACAACTACATCAGCAATAGCTCAAGATATAAGTTGGAAATTGTAAACGAAAGATAAAGAAGAAGACTTGGGGAATAATTGGCTCGATTATTTCCTCAAGCATGCCGGGGTCTTAATATTGTTTACAAGTGATCCTAAAAAATGAAATGAAAGTAATCCGATAAAGGAAAGGGGAAGTAAATCCTATTTCTAATTAAACAATTATAAGGATTTTACCATATTTACTAGGAATGGACTATTTCTATAACAATTTCTTAATTCTTAATACTCCCCCTCAAGTTGGAGCATACATATTGTATGCTCCTAACTTGCACGAATATATTCAATTTTGGAGCATTGGAGTGACGTTGTAACATTGTTGTGAAGAGCGTGAAGCGAGGAAAAGCGACAACCCCCTTTTCGCTTAAAACGAGAAGCAAAGCGCTCGCTTTTTCGAAGTGAAGTGGAATTTGAAAAAAAAATATTGAAATAAATACTGAAGGGAAGGGCAATAAAAACTAGGAATAAAGGATAAAAATAAGAGGATATAAAAATAAGAGGAAGGGCAATATACCATTCCAATAAAAAATGGGCAGCATTTCAAACGAAAAAACAATGCAAGAAAATGAAGAAGAAGAAGAGGAGAAGAATGAGAAAGAAGAACCGAAGGGAAAAAAAAATTCGCCAGCATTTCGCTGCTATTTGGACGCTGAAACAGTGAAAGAAAAAGAAGAAGGAGGAGGAGGAGGAGGAGGAGGAAGAAGAAGAAATCACATACCTGGAGATGATCTTGAAGTTGAAAAGTGTAGAAAACTTGGAACCCTAGTCGCCTCTTTCTTTCTCTGTTGCTGCTGGAGTGCTGGTCGATATGTTTTAATAAAAGAACAGCTATTTTAATTAGGCAGCCCTTTAAAACAGAGAAGTGCTCGCTTCAGTCGCTTCTCGCTTCGCATCGTCGCTTCTCGCTTCGCATCGTCGCTTCTCGCTTCGCATCGTCGCTTCTCGCTTCGCATCGTCGCTTCTCGCTTCGCATCGTCGCTTCTCGCTTCGCATCGTCGCTTCTCGCTTCGCATCGTCGCTTCTCGCTTCGCATCGTCGCTTCTCGCTTCGCATCGTCGCTTCTCGCTTCGCATCGTCGCTTCTCGCTTCGCATCGTCGCTTCTCGCTTCGCATCGTCGCTTCTCGCTTCGCATCGTCGCTTCTCGCTTCGCATCGTCGCTTCTCGCTTCGCATCGTCGCTTCTCGCTTCGCATCGTCGCTTCTCGCTTCGCATCGTCGCTTCTCGCTTCGCATCGTCGCTTCTCGCTTCGCATCGTCGCTTCTCGCTTCGCATCGTCGCTTCTCGCTTCGCATCGTCGCTTCTCGCTTCGCATCGTCGCTTCTCGCTTTTTAGCGGGAAGCGACCGCTTTTTCATACCTGCTACGCTTCAGATAGCTGAAGCGGTGAGTTGGTCGCCTCGCTTCGCTTCTCGCTTTAAGCGAGGAAGCAACCGCTTTTCACAACTCTACGTTGTAACAATATTGGCCAACTGATACCGGAGAGAAAAAGAAGAAATTTTGGGGAATGAATGACTAGATTATTCCCTTTAGCATTTCGGAGTTTAAATAGTGATCAGAAACAATTCTAAGAAAGGAAGAATCTTTAGTAATTCCTATTTCTAATTACACAAATATAGGATTATTTTTCCATATTTACTAGCAATGGGCTCTTTCCATATTAACAATTTCCTAATTCTTAGCAGAGACAAAAATTGAGAGCTTTGTGATTGGAAGAGGGGGACTCAAATAAAAGTTCCTCCATAGGGTAACGATAGCAAATAAGAGGAGAAATTTTATGGTCTATGAAAGTGGATGAGGTCCAATATGAGGGAGAGGAGGTAAGGGGTAATACTGAGATTTTATGAACGATTGAATACTGAAGTTGGGAGGGTCAGTGTTCAATCAAATAGGTGAGCATAAGAGGGAGTGATTGGAGAGGGCAATTGCGGAAGACGAGGTGAGGGAGGCGGTAGAGAGATGTTCAGGTGATAAAACCCGGAACCAAATGGATTCACAATTGCTTTCTTCTAATGGTATTGAAACACGGTCAAAGGAGAGATTATGGAGATCATTACTGCATCTCAGGAGACCGGGGAGTTTTGAAAAAAGTCTCAATGCTTCCTTCATAGCTGTCATACTGAAAAAGGAGGGTGCAACGAACATCTTGGGTTGTGAATTACATGTCAAAAATCTGTCCTGGTCGGTAAGAGGTTGTGAATATGTTACTTTAGCATGTAGTGGTCTAGTCTAAAGTGTGTCTAGTCTAAAGTGATAAGGAATAAGTCTGGTCTTCTATAACATGAACAAGTCTATGGTGCAGTTACTAACACACTGTTGAACAACCTAGGGAATTCATCTCTTTGGTCTATGTCTGTCCTCCTGATCCTGTAAAGTGGTTAATGGTTCACTACTTTTATTTTTTCCTTTTTTTAATAAGCAAAGATAAGGTTCACTAGTTTTTCTAAAAAATATTGTTTATTCATGGTTCCTTTTCAGTTGCATTTCCACTTGTAGATTACCTTTGGTCCATAGTTATCCTTTATCTACCTTTCTACAGTTAAAACTGGGGATCTATTTGATAATACCAATAAAAAATTTCTATTTGATATGATACAATTTTTCTGAATTTAAATTTATAGTGCCAGAAGGATTTGATCTTCTTGGTAGATTTTTGTTTTTCTTGGAGGACACATTGACTCTTAATGTTGTTGTAGTCAAGTCAGTCACTTTTGGAGTGTGCTATGCTGAACCTGTTTGAGGGAATGTGCTTGAATCAAATGCTACCTTTTACTTGCGGTGCTATCATTGTGGCTCCGGTTGCTCACTTATGTGGTTTTAATTAATGAATTTCCTTTTCTTGTCTACAAAAATATTGGGGTTTTTATTTTGTTATTGATTTCTGATGCATGCTTGGACGTAACAAGTTTTGTTCATTTATTCCAAAGAAGCACTAGTTAACTCTTGAGGTTTTGGAATCTCAATCTGTCCATGTGCGTGTATCTTCAGCCAGGGATCCAACTTTTTGTTTATTATTGGTTGGTTAGCAAAAACTGTTCTTTCTTGATTTGGATTTTCAAGTCCATATTAATCCGATCAAGCAACAACCCGCCAAATGCTTGATATGTACTCAATAGCAAGAGATATAAGTTTTGCAATAATTTTTTTTTGAGACCGGTTACCCGTCTTGAACCCTTGACCTAGTAGTTTGGAGAGAACTTCCCAACCACTTTGAACAAGGAAGGTCAGTTGTTTGCACTAAATTCTTAGTGATCAAGCTTTTTAAAACATGACCTAGTTTGATTGTCTCTTTCCCTCTAATTTGCTTTTATAATAATATCCTGCAAACTGTTTGGTTAACCTTTCTGGAATCCCCCCTAGTTGAAGCCTGTATATTTTTTCTGGCTCTAATATCTTAATCTAGCTTTTGGGTTTCGACTCTAGGAATCTTTGTAAGTGGAAGATTTGAAGAAGCTCTAGTTTTAGAAAATCCCTAGTTTTTCTTAAAAGGCAAAATATTTGGTATTGAAATAGAATGTACTTGGATAGAGCGGAATAGGTACAGAGGATGCAGATAGCCGGCCAGTCTAATCTTAGATTGAGGCGTAGTTGATTGGTTGATAGCTCTTTGAATTGCTACCTATAAGGCCAAGGACTTTCAAGCGGAGTTTTATATACTAGCAGCATATCCATATTTAATATTTCCAGTTATATGAATAACTTAAATTGTTACCTTTTGTCAACCTCCCTAATAATGACATCTCTACTTGATGTATAATTTGAAATTTTTAACTCCAGTACTCACTCCATATCAGTTCTCATTTCCATTCCTCTTAAAAACAAAATAGTAAAAACTGTTTACGATCAATTTTACTGTCATTTCAGCCGCCTGCATTTCCAAAGGAAACACCTGAAACAATAAAAGAATATATTAGGGAGAAGTATCTATTGCCTCAGCTGGATGCAGATGAGTTTTCTCCCGAAAAAGCCGGAAGGCAGTGGGAGTTTGATTGGTTTGAAAGAGCTAAAATCCTTCCAGATCCATCTTTGCCACGATCTGTTGTTGTTCCAACATGGGAAGTGCCTTTTAGACGTCAGAGGGACAGATTGGATAATGGAAGATGGGAGCCAAACTCAGAGGAGGTATTTAG